TTTGCCTTGCTACACTGGTTAGACTTCCAGCACAATCCTTAATAGAAGCATTGGTTGCGATCATTCTTGTCTCATTCCTGACTTTGAAGGAAATACCCTTAATATTTTGTTATTAGGTACATTGTTTACTGTAGTTTTTTTGTTGATTCACATTGTGGGATTAAAGCAGACCTCTTTAGTTACTTTCAACCTTTTTCATGATTAGTATTAAACTCTAACAAATATTTTTTCTGCAGCTATTGAGGTAATAGTTTTTCTCTCTTAATTTGTTAATATGGTAAATAACTTATGTTAATAGATTTTTATGAAATTTAGACATCTTTGCATTGGTGAGATAAACCAACTTTGTCATAGTAAACAAAAAAAATACATTATTGGATTCAATTTTCTAATATTATGTTCAGAAATTCTGCATCTATACTCGTAAATGCAATTGACTTTTAATTTTTCTTTCTTGTCCTATTCTTATCTGGTGGTTGTAGGACCATTTTATCTTCATAAAATGATTTGCGCATTGTTTCCACCTTTTTCTTTTCTCTGAGAATTTGCGTAATATTAGAATTATCTGTTTTTTGACATTTGGCAGAATGTTCCCATACAGACACTTGGACCTGGTTTTTTTTTTTTTTCCTGTAAAATTTTTAACCTCTGATTTAATTTGTTTAATGGTTACAGTAGCATACGAGTCATCTATTTTTCTTCTAAGTTTCAGGTTTGTTGAAAAAGTAGTACATAGCATTCTCCTGCTCTCTTTTTTTGAATTAACTTTATATGTAGTTAATTATTTAAAAAGTCAAAATATTATAGATCCTGGTTCCACTCCTTCCCACTCCTCTTTCTTCTGTCTCAGAGAGAATCACTTTCTCTTCTTTTTCTTCTTTCTTCTGGCATTTAGACTTCTTATTTCTGTCTTTTGATTCTTCTATATTTTCTTCACATTCTTTTATAACTTTGTTTTTCACATGATTTCCTTAATTCATTTGGATTTTTTTAACGGCATAAAGTAAGGAAACTACCTTTTTTTCTAGCTAATTGTACTGATGTCATGTAGTGAATAGCCCCTTCTTCCTCTGACATCCATCTCTGCATTTCTCCCGAGCCTGTGCGTATCACAGCAGCTCCCAGCCAATTACTGAGTGTGGTAGGGGTACTAAGGCAGGCCCATTCTTGGGAGACGTGGGACGACTTTGAAGGGTGACTTTGGCCCAAGGACTCCCCAACGTCCTTGCTCAACTTTCCTTCCAACTGCACTGCAGACAAAACACTTCCACCCAACTTTCCTTCCTTCCTTGCCTTTCTCCTTCACTCAAGGTCAGACTTGTATCATGAGCTGACATCTCTTCTAGCCTTTCCTGACTTCCTTCCCATTTTCCTTCACTGAGGTTTCCCCTAACAAATTTCTTGCACACTTAATCTTGTCTTGGTGTCTGCTCCTTGGCAGACTCACAGTAACATACAAGTGGTGCAAGGTGTGCACGTGTTGGGACAAGTGTCACGTAGAGACTAGAGAACCTCCAGATGTGTTTGGGGATCTGACAGCAGAGGAACCTGTGCTTACGCCCAAGGGGAAGACCCAAAAAGCATGTCAGGTCCTAGAACTCCCCCATTGTGCAAGACAGCAGGATGCAGCGTAGAAATGTAGAAATGTAGGCGTGGCATCTTTAGACAAAGTGCCTCAAGACATCCTCTCTGGTCTCCTATGGCTCCAAAGTGGTGCTCAGAGTAGCAAAACATTCCCCATGCTTCTTACACCTGTACCAACAGCAGTTTGGCTGTTAAGGTGCAGACTCCAACAACGGCCATGGAGGACCTGGACAAAGTGAATCTCCATAGTCAATAGAACTTTTAGCAACCAAAATGGCTCATTTGAAATTTATTAAGTCCATGTACCTTATAATTCCTATTTAACAGGATATAGTATAAACTCTTGATTGGTGACTAATTGTATCTGGCAGCATTCTTAGTTGCAAACAACAGAAACTGATTTATGTAGAAAAAGGAATTTATTAATATGATGTTAAGTAATAATAACAACAGCAGCTAATATTTATTAAGCATTTACACTTTGCCAAGCATCGTTTGAAATTCTTTGTATGTATGAAACTCATGTAATCCTTTCTGTAACTTTCATAACAACAATAATAGTATCTCTGAGATTGACAGTACGATTAACCTCATATTTTGGATGTGAAATGGCACAGAGAAGTTAAGGAACTTGCCCATGGTCACACAGCTAATTGGTGATACAGCCAGGGTTCAAACCCGGGCAGTTTGGACTCCAGAGCCTCTCTGTTGCCCACTTCACTCTGTAGAACTGGTGGTAGGAGTGTTGTGTGTGCTGGGGAGGAGGAAGGACTGAAAAACTAGGCTTGAAGGATATGAAGGCAGGAACAAAATTCCAGATCGTAACATACAAATCACGTGGTGAAGACACTGGGGGAAACCCTGAGGTTTGCATCGTTCACACCGCTGATGCTGGCACTAGTCACTGTTCCTAGAACTGCCACCACTGCCGCCGCTCACTAACCAAATGGGTTTTCTGCTTCTTCACATCACAGTTTTCTGATTTAAAATGTAAATGCATGTAGTTGGTAGAACCGAGGCCATGAGCCGGTAGGGAGTCTGGGGAATATTTTTTAGCTTCTGTCATGGGATACAGGCTCTGCTTCATAAGGCAAAGGACTCCTTCTATATAAAAAAGAGTTCAAATGCTGGGCAGCCAAAAATAATGACAAATGTCTTTATACTAGATACTTTGCTTTTCTTTCTCTTCTTTCTGAAAGAAACTTTTTGTTATCCTGTTTTTCTCCAGCATTGTTTACCAGGTGTTTTGGAGATGATTAAATTTTTCACTTAATATATGGGTTGCTGTATGGTGATGAACCATATCTTAAACTTTCAGAGAAGAACAGAGATCACTAAGGATTCTGGACTTAGCGGAATGGAGTGACTGGATATAGTCCTTTGTTGTTTCCCTTCAGGTAATAGGATAAGTAAGTGTATCAATTAGCTTTTGTTGTATAACAAGTTACTTTAACATGCGTTATGACTAATAAATAGTCATTTATTAGTCAGTGATTCTGTTCTGTGGGTCAGCAACTCGGGCTGGGTCCAGTGGACAATTCTGCTGGTCTTGGCTGGGCTCACTCAAGCTTCTGTGGCCTTCCTCCAGTTTTGGAGGTCTTCAGTCCCTGGTCCCTCTCACACTTCTGGCTGTTGGCTGGGCGAACAGGGCAGTTGGTTATGTGTCCCTCACCATCCATCTCATTCGTGTAGCTCATTCACATGCTTGATGTCAGGGTTCTGAGTGGAGTGAGAGAGGGTAAGCGTCAGTGTGCAAGTACTTTTTAAGTCTCTGCTTGCTTCAAGTTTGCTAGTGTTACATGAAGTAACATCAGGTCAAACCCTGGGCTAGTTTGGGAGGGGACAGTGGTATGAGAGCTTGAGAGCTATTTGATAAATTTCTAGGAATTTTGCAAGGCTATTGTTAAACTGCTTATAGCTTGAAATTGGCCATGGTGGGAATACTTACACCACAGTGATAAATAAATGAAAAGCAATAGGATATATTGGAGTATATGAGGAAGCCATTGGGTTTAAAACTAATTCAGCCTGATCTTGTTTTTCCAAAAGGGCCTGACGTGGCCTGTTGAGCATGCATTGTACATCTGCTTTAAATATTCACTATGTCCCAAAGACAAGAATGATGCCCTTAAAGATAGGGATATAACTTGCATATTGGCATTTCCTTTGGGATAAGTATCTTTCTCTAAACTAAGGATTAATTACTGACCTGCCTGTGACCTTGTGACCACTCATCTTGTGACCACCGACCTGCTGTGTTCACAGATCTGCTGTGCCAGCAAAGCAATCTCGTGACTATTGTAAAAGGGACATTCCTATCATATGTGATGTATGCTCTTTGTTTAAGAGGGTATATAACCACTCCTATCATATGTGATGTATGCTCTTTGTTCAAGAGGGTATATAACCACTCTGTACACCCCACTTCTTTGGTGCCCTTCCTTCCTTGGAGAAGGAAGGTCCTGGGCTAGTCCTCAGATCTGGCTTATAATGAATTCACCCCAATTTTGATTTATAGAATGATTATGCGTTATTTGCATCGACAACAGAAATTGGCAAATGCTATAAACCAGGGCTTTCTTTTTTTCCTTTTCACAGTACCAGTTTACCAGAATGTCGCCAGGACTATCTGAGGACGTGGGTACATGGAGAGGAATTATTGCAGCTGTTTTTGAAACAATCTACCATAGTGACCGTGGTCTTTTTAGTATTTAGTTTTTAAGCATCACCATTGTTAGAACTGTATATGTATAAAGATAGGGTTGTATATGTGTTGAGCAGTCAAGGGTTCACATGGTAGTGGCCATTTACTTTTTTAAAGCGTCCTCTAGTCTTTTCCAGTAACAGACCCTGCTGGAACTAAGCTAAGCCACTCTCATGACACAGTGATTTCTCCAAAGGGGGAGCATGTGAACCAAGCTAATTCAGTCAGAATTATTCTCCAGGGTTTTTTTTCAAACTAAAGTTGGAGGAGGAAAGTCCCTCTCCTTTCTCTTACAAATTGTGATGACATGAGCCACAAGCTGCCAGCAGTCAAAATTACTCTTTTGTGGGTGACAGCCAGCCTAAGAGAGGAAAGCTAACATATAGAGATTTGCACGAAAGAGAGACAGAAAAAGAGAAAGAGAGGGAGAGAGAGAGAGAGTTGAGGGAGAGAGAGAGGAAAAGACGAGTCCATCCCAGCCCTTCTTTTTTTTTTTTTTTGCCTAAAGTAGATTGAATTAACAGTTTTTGTCATTTGCAACCAAATAGTCCTGACTAGTACACAAACACAGACATCTTGGTGAAGAGGTGGAGAAACTAGGTCGAGAAAGGGGTCAGTGTTGCTGTGCAAAGCCAGGATCTGGGTCAGGGCCTCATGTTCATCCCTGGGGGTAAATTAAACAGGGGAGGGTATTCACAGGAAGATCTCCTTCTCTGAGATTTGTGATTCTCCTCTCTACCACTATCTCCTATGTCAGTTCAAGGTACCGTTGGAGATAACGGAAATGACTCCAGACAATTTAAGTAGAAAGAGACAATACAAGAACTTAGGTGATTACCAAATTGTTAGAAGGTCAAACTGGAGGCTGAGCTTCTAGGAATGGCTCCCCTGTGACAACACCACAGAACTGGCCTGCCAAGGAAATCATTACCCTAGCTGCTGGCTTCAGGATATACCACCTCAACTGCAATTCACATAAAAAAATTGGATGCCTGGTACTCAGTCTCTATGCAACCACAAAGCTGGCATCAGGAACTGAGATTTCTGCTTCTGCAACCACAGAAAAAGCAAACACCTCCTTGACCATGCTTGCTAGCAGAAACGCCAACAGCCACAGAAGCATGTACTTACTTCCCAATCTTACTCCTTAGAGGCAACAACAGTTAACATTTTCTTCTGTATCTTTCCAGAAATTTTACAAGCACACATAAACATATATGCTTGTGTGTGTATGTGTGCATGTGTGTAAAACAAATGGATCACACTGAATATTGGTCTGGTTGCTAATTAATTTAAAGGACCTCTGTTTGGATCCTTTCCTAAGTGAAGAATGAAAGAATATAACTGGGTATCTTAAGCAGCTCACTCTGATTCCCAATTTTAACATGGAACCAGAATCCTTGGGAATAAATGTAAAATATTTAGGAACAACATTAAGAAGCAAATAAATAATGGAAGAGGCACATGACTTTGAAAATCACTTCAAAACAAAGTGTTCTTTTGAAAGTAAAGTTTAGATTTGTATATACATATCTTTTCCATTTTAAAACAAAAAGCTTCTATAATTTATGAAGGTGAAAATGTATAGTCATTAATTTTTAAAAGGGCAGAATTTTACAGTTTTGTCTAAATGCCATTTCAAAACTTACAGAGCAAAGAAAAAAAATACATTGTTCTTTTAAAAACCCAGTGTAAAGAGCAAAACTAAAAACAAATTTTAAATACTCTCCAAATGCTAGAGACTAAAAAAACTCTAAAAAATATAAAAAGAAAGAGAAATTTCTGCATCTAAGAGTAAATGGCATTTCTGGGCTTGATTTCACATAAGGGATAATGGGGTCAATATATCACCTAGTCGATGCCACTGAATCACACTCTATATAGTTCAGTGATGTAAGACAAAGAAAAGTCTAGAGGATGAGAAAAGAACAAGGAAGCCACTCAGCAGAGACGAGCAACCAGCCTCCTCCTCACTTCTCGTGGGCGCAGGCCCATCCTGGGCCCTCCCACAGGCCCTGGGGATTGTGTGAGGGACAGACGAGGCTGGACAACCCTGAGTTACTGCCTTTGTGTGGCGACCCTGTGCCAGCAGCCCCATCTCTGTCTGCGATTCATTGATCCTGGCGCTGCTCACAACCGTTAATCATCACGGCCCAGAGAGCGGCCTCTTGAGTGTGAGCCTCAAACAGGGAGAGATTCCACCCCGTCTCTAGGGGCAACCAGTCCATTCTAAAGTGAGTGTCACCCGCTTCACGCTCCCACAGTGGGAATGTCCCCCTGGCTGGCCTGCTCCGGGAATATGGTGGAGACCAACTCGGCGGCCCAGGGAGTATGTGTGGGGTCGAGTGAGGGAATGGCAACAAGGGCAGTTTGGCTCAGATAATGGGGGACCCTGAGGGAGGCATGTGGGCTTTATTTCAAAGGCAAGAGAGTTAACTGCAGCTTCAGAGAGGAGGGTGGGGCTTTGGAAGATGAATCTGGCTCCTTGTGCTGTAAGGATGAGGACGGGAGCGGCTAGCTAGGGGACCTGGGTGAAGCAGCAGGTATGGGGGGCGTGGATGGATCTGAACCCTAAGCAAGGGAGGACTGCCTGGTGTTCTTGTTGTGAGTGAGGAGAAGGAGATGTCAGCGCTGACTCACAGGGTTTGAGCCCTGGTGACCAGGTGTTGCAGATTGCATTCCCTGGAAAGGGGTCTCTGAGACAGAGATTCACATTCCCCAGGTTGATTAGGCAGTTCTCTCTGGATCAACATCTGTGGTAGGAAAGGAAGGAAGTAGAATTGGGAAGATGGAGAAGTTGAGCCACAACACAGCCTCAGTGCAGAGCTCAGCTGACCCTACAGGGGTGACCCTGCAGTGTTGTACCAACTTGGGCAATGGGGCTGGGATTTATGTGCCCACATTGATCGGTTTTTGGATGCAGATCTCCCTGGGAAAGGAGTGACCTTAGGAGAGATGGCTCTCTCAGCTGAGGAAATCCCTCAAGACAGCTGACAGCTTTCTGCTGAAAGCACTCCTGGCGGTTGGGGAAATAAACCCATCATTTTTGAGGGGAGTCTTGGGGGCCCATCACAGTGTCTACTACACTGTGGAAACATGGTAGGGCTCAGAGGAGGAATGCATCTGGGCTAGCAAAAACGTAAATGTGGGATAGAAGTCAGAGGAATGAATGTGGCAGTTGGAGTCAGACAGAGATGAAACCTGAGCTGACCCATCTGGCAGCTGATTCTCCGAGGGGCCTCACAAGAGGAGACATCTGGACAAGATCAGCAGATACCAGTTGGTTCAGGAATTCCGCACTCTGTCAGAGCTCCTGGAGTTGAGTGAGAGCCCTGGTCACACTCAGCCTGACAGAGCTCTCAGGGGCTGATGTACAAATCAGGTGGAAATAGTGACTGCAGGTTAGAAACTGAACTGCCCAGGGGATGGGGATGCTCACACGGGGAGATCTCTCCCCCTCAGCTCACTCCATCTCCCATGCCCTCCCTCCTCCATCTCCCTTTACTGTCTTTTGCTTTGAGGGCTTTCTCTCTTCTCTCCCTCTCTCTCTTCCTCTCCCTTGTCGCCTTCCCTCTACTCCTCTCTCTCCTCTCTGTCCAGTTCTCTCTCCTTCTCTCCCTCTGGGCCCACTAGAGGGCGGCAATTCACAGTCCAGCCCCAGCGTCCACCTTCTGAGCCTTAGCCTGTGCTCTGATCTCTGGTGGGGGCAGGCAGGCACCAAGATTACCCTTAGGCCCTTAAGTCTCCTCTCCCAAGGCAGGCCTGTACTAATAAGGCTGTCATGTGGTGGAAAACGCTGTGTTCAGTAGAGAGGGCAGGAATTGCTTCTTTTTTGCTCTGCTTTGCTGAAGCATAGAGACACGGTGGCCAACTGTACCCGCCTTAGACAGATGGGGACGTCGAGGCCCCGAGAAGGGCCAGGATCTACTCAAGATTTCTGAATTGACAGTCACCTGTAGGGCCACAGGGCCTTAAGAAATTGGGGCTGGATCTTGTTCCCACCATTTGTGTCCCAGGGTGTTCCTGAAAGGACTTTTCCTGGAAATAACGGGCTCCAATATTGTCCAGGGTGTCAAAAGCCCAGTGCAGATTCCTGGGCTGCTCCATTCCACCTCCCCTAGAAGCCTCCCTGGGCCTGGTTGCCTGGGTGTGCGAGGCCTCATTCATTCCTGAAAGGCTCCTTGTGGACACAGTCAGAGGGACTGCGTCTGAGCAGTGTGCCTGGGCCTGCATTCCCAAAGGCATGGTCAGACCAACAAAAACTAAGTTTTTCCAAGTTAGAGGAAGAAAAATGGAATGACCAGGTTGGGGAGGGGGCATGCCGGGAGGGAACTTCTATAACAACAGGTTGGGAAACAGAATGCTTGCCCAGAGTCAGGCCCCAGCTGCAACCCCCGCCTTCTCCCCCATCCCCATCCACACAAACATAGGCCAGCTTCACAGCTGCGACCACTTAGGGGGCAGCCTCTGAGCTCCTTTGGGCCCAGAGAGCAGCACTAGTCAAGGGGGTTTGAGGAGCCTGGCCCAGGAGTGCAGGGGCTCAGTAGGAAGTCACTGGCCCTGACCAGTGTCCTGCAGACCCCTAGATACTGGGATTGCTTTCCCTGAGCTCAGCCACACTGTTCGGTAGAGCTGGCCCATTCCATCCCATCTGCTTTTGCTGAGCTGACACGGCTGGCTCTGTGGCCCCTATTCCTTCCAAAAGGAGGTGGAAACCCAATAAGCAGTAAGGCCTGTAGAGTGCTAAGAGACACCACTAATGGTCCTGGAATGGTCCTGGCTGAAGCCAGAGGGCCGGGAGTCGAGCTTCAGGAGGCTGGCACGGCTGGCCCGTGACCGCTGGGGTGGGCCAATTCAAGCCCAGCTTCTCCATCATCACGGCTCCATGACCCCCCGAGGGCTCATTTCAGTGACAGCCTTGAGGACCATGATGGAGAATTAGGCCCAGATGTTTTATGGACATTTGGTTTCACCAAATTTTCCTCTGTTTTCAAAATTTTCTTTTCATTTGGGTTTTTCCTTTTTCTTTAAATTTCTGAAACAGAAGAAATACTATTCTAGTAGCTGGCCTATCCTTCTTCAGACTCGCTACCATTTTCCTCTGAGTTGCACAAAATAGCGACCCCTGTCCTGTTGAGATCCTGCTTGTTCGTGGGGGTTGAGGGTAGTATTTGGGGGATCTTAAAGCAACGTCTTTGGTACTGTCTACTTTTTGGATGTCTTCTGGCTCTTATTTCAAAAGCCGAGCCTGATGGAATCACCACAGAGCTTCTCACATATAGAAGTAAGGCTTCTATTCAGCCTGTGGCAGCCCCCACGAGGTTTCCTGCCCTAGGGAAGAAGGGGGATGCAATGTAAGAAGGGTTCCACCCAAACTGGAGGTGGAAAGGTGACCTCTGCGGCCTAGTGGGATGTAGGAAGGATAACTGAGAGATAGGAGAAACAAGAGATCAGATAGGTGCATTTGGACTTCCTCTTCCTGCCCCATATCTGGTGGGGGTGTTACATAAATAATTAGATTAAGGGGAAAGCCAAAAGCAGAGGGAGTTTCTACTTTGCTCCCTGTTTGGAACTCTGGGAGGAGACTGGTGTGCATCATGACCTTGACAATTGGGGACAGACACTGCAAATGTCCCTGTGATATAGTTGTTTAGGGGCAGGACCTGAGCTAGTGCTCCCCAGTTCCTCATGTGAAATGGAAAAAAATCTAGATGTTTTTGCAGGCTCCATAGCAGGAGGTACTTGGCAGTTGCATGGAAAGTCAGTGGGCTGCCATTGGCGGGAGGCAATGAGGTACCACCACAGTGGCTGAGTCTAAGCTTCAGGCCAAATAGAAGATGTGGCTGAAATTCAGCAGGTTATACACCAGGATTAGTGGAGGTAGGTGTGAGTAAGTGAGAGGAGAACCACTAGGACCTGCCCGAGCCAGAAAAGGCTGAAAATTTACCAGCTGTCAACCAAAGTGATGGATGCTCACATGATACCAGTATCCAGGAGGACAAAGGACATTGTGGTGAGTCCAGAGGACCCAGAGGCAGAACAAGGTCCTTCATGTGCACTTCTAAGGCCCTTCGCCCCCATTGCTATTGGTCACCTAAGACCTCACTTGTACACAGATGCCATTTCAGGGAGGAGTAAGGTTAGAGAGAGGAAATATGAACAACTCGTGTTTCTCTGAAGAGACTGAATTACTTAAAGAGACTGTTTTGTTTAGAAGAGATGGAGATACCATTAGTAAGCAAGTATACGTTTTCCCAACCAAGGGGGTGGAGTTATCTGATATCAGCTAAAGAAAATAAAGAAGCTACAATTCCTTTGCACAATTGAGGAACAGCCTGTAAATTTGTGACATGCCACACATGATGGGCAGAAGGTTCTGGTCTAGAGGGGCAATCTGCATTTTCCACTGGGCTGTCTTTCTCTACATTTGTCCTGACTGGAGGGTGTAAATGAGATTTTACAGAATATTGATCTCTCAGCATATCCATTCATCTCCAGATAACTGACCCCAAAATCTTTTTTTCTTCTGTAGATGGTTCTTTTCCAAGTAAATATTGTACATTTGAATTCTGTTGCTTTTGTCATTTTACTGCTTTTGTTAGGTTTTCAGGGAGGGAGATATGATAATCTTGTATCTCCTACTTTTACTTCCTTTGGAATTTTCTTAAGGTCTCTTGGTGATGAAAATTTTCCTCGGATCAACCAAGTTGGGATGAACCCGCTGACACGGCCTCTACAGATTACCCTGTTCCCCCTAAATTGTCACAGCTTCTCAGAAGAGCTGGGTTTCCAACAGGTTCTGCCCTGCACCAGCATGGTGCCTCTCAGATACTCCCGTGCTTCTTCAGCTCTGATTCTGTTTATCTACCCATTTAATGATCCTAATTCTTGTTTCCCATGGTCTTCGTGAGAATAAAACAGAGAACTGGATGGGAAGGTGCTTTGTAAATGCTGAGAGCATGGAAGGAGATGTCATCATTTCCACATTCATCCATCCTGGTGCTCACCTCCACCTGGGACCTCGTGTGTCACTGATGTGATGAGGAGGACAGGCAGGGCTGGGCCAATTCAATGAGTAAGTGGACAAGAGATCTAGAAAGAAGAGGCTTCTTGTCCAGGAATGATGTGGAGTGATCCCTTTGTTCAATGGACATGTTCCTGGAAGACTCCATTGATCAAAATTTCAGTTTCCCACGATGCTGTCTGGCCAACGGGTGAGGACATCCCCTACCAAGATAGTGCCATGGCTGGCTCAACTTCTCACACAGGCTGAGCCACACAGGCCTGGAGAGAGAGAAAACTCTAGTTTCCTGTTGAAAATTTCAAGGGAAAGTCATGAAAGACAATTCTTGATGTATTTTTTAAGTGAAAACAAAAACAAAGGTTAAACAACAGTGCATGGAGGGAGGAATGGAGAATTAGCATTTAGTGGATAGAGTTTCAGTTTGGGAAGATTAAAAAGTTCTGGAGATAGATAGTGGTGATGGTTGCACAACAATCTGAATGGACTTAATGCCACTGAACTGTACGCTTAAAAATGCTTAACATGGTAAATTTTACGTGAAGTATATTTCCCACAATAAAAAAATAGTGTCTACTATAATCTGCTATTTATAAATTAACAAAAGGTATATACACAGAAAACACTTCAAGAATACACACCAAAATGTGACAGTGTGCTGGGTGCTGGAATTGTAGGTGATTTTTCTTTTCTTCCTTCCCTCCTTCGCCCTAAATTCAGGCCTTTGTCTGGCCCAGGCTCTCAGACCCTCTTATTTTGACATGATTTTTTTCCTCATGGAGTTTCCTGGTAAGTGTGGAGACATTTCCCTCCACAAATAGGCCCCACTGGTCTTCCTTTTCTCTGATCAAGTGGAAGAGCTGGAACACATTAAACATCTTGCTAAGTTGGGGCTGGAATGAATAGACAGGGCCTGGGCAGGCAGAGGGGTGAGGACTGGTCCCATAAGCCAGGTCAGCCCGAGGATCAGTATATCTGGAGGCAGGTATGAAAGAAAAGAGGCGGGGGAGCTGCCCCTCTGGAGACTGAGGGAAACAGGGCTCAGCATCTCTGACAGTCTGGGAGGAACACAGGCCTGCACATGTGTGCAGGGACTTAGCAAGAGCCTTGCTTAAACTTCCCATTGGGTGTGGGCACCTCCAAGCTCATGGATGGGCAGAGTGGGAGAGTGAACCATGCTGCATAGCCAAGAGACAACACAGGTGAGCCTCTGCTGAGATCTCAGGGGCTGAGCAGTGATCAGAATGACCAGCTGAATCTCTTCCAGTCTGTCCCAGGCAGCATCCTTGGGGACTCAGCCCAGGGGCTCATTCTACTATCTCCTTACTCTGAGCTTCTCTCGTGGACTCTTCTCCAGGCCTGTGTAGAGCTGAAAGCTCTTTCCGACCACCTCCTGTTGCACCCAGGGGACCCGCATGGCGAAATCCAGCCAGACCATGGGCACTGATCATCTGGTCCTCAGACTGATCTCCAGATGCGGAGCTTAGTGGAGAGTTTGTTCATTCATACATCCTCTTATTCATACTTTTACTCATTTATTCACACATCTCTAATTTATTTATTTGCTCACTCATTCATTTATTCACTCACTCACTCATTCATTCTCTTACCACTCCAGAAAACATTTTCTGATCACTCTCTGCTGGGCTCAACTGTAAAAGGTAGAAAGGCAAATGAGACCTGTTTCCATCTTCCAGGAGCTCACCTGGGGAGAAGGGAAGCTAAAAAAGGAAGCAAATAATTAGAAAATGAAAGAGAAGGTGGTAAGTGCCATAGAGGATACAGAAGCAAGTGAAGCTCGGAAGAGGGAGAAATCTCTGGAAGGGCCACCTGATGTGGACACTTTGGTCTTGACCTGTTCTGCTGGGGCTGGAGTCACTAATGTTGTACATGGAGTCTGCAGTCACCACTCAGCGTGGCTGGAGTCACTAGCTGGCTCTGTGGCTTGGGCCCTACACTGCCCTACTTTGAGCTTCAGTGTCATCACCAGTAAACAGGATGATATTGGATCAGCTCACCTCTAGGGCCCTGCCAGCACTGTACTTTCAGTGGCTCAGTAGGGGGTACGTTAGTGACTCACTGGGGATAGGTTAATATTTAGCTAGTTTTAGATAAAAAGTTTGCATTTATAAACAGTCTCTCATGTGTCCACAGCTGTGTGTTTTCTGGGTACTTGGTGTACATGATGCCGTGGAGGAAGCCAAGGCCAGCAGATGGGGCTCTCTATGAGCTAGCAATTACTGGGACATGTCTCCACTTTGGCTCTCCCAACAGAGAGCTGATTGACAGGAAGACTGACTCACAGAGCAGTGTAAGCATCCCCGAGGACCTTGGGGATAGGGGTGGAGGAGAACCACAGGGAAAGACTGGACTTCCTGCTATCTTGGTGTTGGGGAGACAGAGACAAATTTCCTTTGAAGCTAACAGAACTCAGGCTTTGGGGTCCCTCACTTGGACACACCCCTTCCAAAGCCCTGCAGCTATTTTTTTTAATTTTTAAAGATTGAGATAAAATTCACATACCATATAGTTCACCATTTTATAGGTACAATTCAGTGTTTTTTAGTACAGTCATGCACTGCGTAAAGACATTTCAGTCAACGACAGACTGCATATACAATGGTGGTCCCATAACATGAGTACCATATAGCCTAGGTGTGTAGTAGGCTCTACGATCTAGGTTTGTTTAAGTACACTCTATGTTGTTCACACAATGACTAAATCGCCTAACGACACATTTCTCAGAATGTATCCCTGTCATTAAGTGACGTATGACAATATATTCATAATATTGTACAACAATCAGTACTATCTAATTCCAAAATATTTTCATCGCCACAAAAAGAAGCCCCTTACGTGTTAAAGCAGTCACTCCTCAGCCCCTGACAACCACTAATTCACTTTCTGTTTCTATGGATTTACTTATTCTGGACAATTTATATAAATGCAGTCACACAATATGTGGCCTTTTGTGTCTGGCTTCTTTCATTTAGCATAATACTTTCAAGGTTCATCCGTGTAGTAGCATATATCAGTATTTTATTCTTTTTGTGGATGAATAATATTCCATTGTATGGATATCCTACATTTCATTTATCCATTCATCAATTGGGGGACATTTGATTTGTTTCTACCATTTGGCTATTAAGAATAATGCTGCTATGAAAATTCACGTGCAAGTTTCTGTGTAACCATATGTCTTTAATTCTAGTGTGTATATACCTGAGAATGGAATTGCTGGGTCATATGGTAACTTTAATGTTTAAATTTTTGAGGAACTGCAAACTATTTTCCACAGTGGCTGCACCATTTTGTACTCCTATGAATGAGGAATGTATGAGGGTTCAGCATTGTATGAGGGTTTGAATTTCTCCACATCCTTACTAACATTTTTTATTTTTCAATTATAGCCATCCTAGTGGGTGTGAAGAGGCATCTCATTGCAGTTTTGATTTGCATTTCCCTATTGACTAATGATGTTGGACATCTTTGCGTGTATTTGAGGGCCATTTGAATATCTTCTTTGGAGAAACGTGTATTCAAATCCTTTGCCCATTTTTAAAGTGGATTGTTTGTCTTTTTGTTCTTGGGTTGTAAGAGCTCTTTATATATTCTGGATACTAGACATATCAGATATATGATTTGCAAATATTTTCTCTCATTCTGTGGATTGTCTTTTCAGTTTCTTGATAGTGTCCTCTGATGCATGAATGTTTCAAATTTTTTTTTTTTTTTGGTGAGGAAGATGAGCCTTGCGCTAACATCTGCCAATCCTCCTCTTTTTTTTTGCTGAGGAAGACTGGCCCCGGGCTAACATCTGTGCCCATCTTCCTCCACCTTATATGGGACACCGCCACGGGATGACTTGACAAGCAGTGCATCGGTGTGCACCCAGGATCCGAACCGGCAAACCATGGGCTGCCACAGTGGAGCGCCTGCACTTAACCTCTTGTGCCACTGGGCCAGCCCCACGAATGTTTAAAATTTTGATGAAGTCCAATTTATTTACTTTTTCTTTTGAAGTTTGTGCTTTTGGTGGCATATTTAAGAAACTATTGCCTAATCCAAGGTCTATGTTTCCCTCTAAGAGTTTCATAGTTTTAGCTCTTATGTTTAGGTCTTTGATATCTTTTGAGTTAATTTTTGTATGTGGTGTGAGAGAGAGGTCCAAATTCATTCTTTTTCATGTAGATATCTAGTGCCCCAACCCCATTTGTTGTTGTCTTTTAAGTTAGATAGGAAAAAAGAGGAAGTAAAGACAAAAAATATATTAATATTGTCTTTTATATTTATCTATGTTGATAATTTTACCAATGTTCTTTGTTTTTTTGTGTGGTTTTGAGTTACTGTTTAGCGTCTTTTCATTTCAGCCTGAAGGATTGCCTTTAGCAATTCTTGGAGGACAGGTCTCTAGTGATGAACTATCTCAGTTTTTGTTTATCTGGGAATGTCTTAGTTTCTTTTTTATTTTGAAGGGTAGTTTTGCTGGATATAAAATTCTTGGCTGACATTTTTGCACCAGCACTTTGAATATGTCATCTCACTACCTTCTAGCCTCCTTGGTTTCTGATGAGATACCAGCTGTTAATCTTGTTGAGGAATCCCGTACAAGATGAATTTCTTCTCTCTTGCTCCTTTCAAGATTCTCTTGTTGTCTTTGACTTTTGACAAGTTTGATTATGAGGTGTCTATGGATTTCTTTGTGTTTATTCTATTTGGAGTTGAACTCCTTTGATATGTAAATTAATGTTTATTCATCAAATTTGAAAAGTTTTTGGCCATTGTTTCTTCAAATGTTCTTTCTTCCCCTTTCTCTCTCTTCCCTTTTTGGGGCTCCGAATTATGCATATGTTGGTATACTTGATGGTATTCCACAGGTATCTTAGGCTCTGTTCATTTTTATTCATTCTTTTTTCTTTGTGTTCCTCAGACTGGATAATCTCAATTGACCTATCTTCAAGTTTGATGATTCTTTCTTCTGCTGATCGAATCTGTTGTTGAGGCTCTTTAGTCTGTTTTTAATGTCAGTTATTGTACTTTTCAATATCAGAATTTCTTTTTTGTTCCTTTTTATGATTTTGATCTCTTTATTGGTATTTTCTATTTGATGAGGCATTGTTCTCATGGTTTCCTTTAATTCTTTAGGCATAGTTTCCTTTAGTTCTTTGAACAAATTTAAAATAACTAATTTAAAGTCTTTGTTTAGTAAACCCAATATTTGAGCTTCTTCAGGGACAGTTTCCATTGATTGCTTCCCCCTTTCCCATCCCAAAGCCCCCACACATATGGGCCATATTTTCCTGTTTCATTCCATGCTTTACCATTTTGTTTTTGAAAACTGGAAATTTTAAATGTTGTAATGTGGTAATTCTGGAAATCAGATTCCCTCCCCTTTCAAGGGTTTTTGTTGCTGCTTGTTGTAGTTGTTTGTTTAGTGACATTTCTGAACTCTTTTTGTAAAGTCTATATTCTTGGCAGTGTGTGGCCCCAAGTCTCTGTTCTATTAGCTTAGTAGTCAGCCAATGATTAGACAGAGATTTCCTTCAATGCCTGATACCAAAAAATCTCCTAGTCTTTGCAGATGGGCTCTGTGCATTCGTTGGAACACACCTTCAACATTCAGCCAGGTGATTTTCAATGCTGTCTTAGCCTTCACTTCCTGCTTGCACAGAGCCTGAGGGAAGGTGAGCCAGAGGTGAAAGTTTAGAGCCTTTTCAGATCTTTCCTGAGCATGCACATCACTCTGGGCATGTGTGTGGCCGTCTAGATTGCCAGGAATATTTCAAAGGATTTCGAAGTCCTTATTCCCCCAAATATCTCATTCCCCAGCCTTTCCTTCCAAGCATTTTGGTTAGTCTGTTGTTTGCCCTGACTGTTACTGCTTGCTGCCTGCTGCTTTAGCATTGGGTGAGTTCCAAGTTAGATGAAATAAAGGCAAGCCTTTTGAGATGGTCTTTCAGGGAACCATTAGACAGGTTAAAACAAATAATTACAATTTTTTTGTGGATGAAGTCTGTTCTGCTCCCTCCAGTACAGATTCTGGTACTGGGAACACAAGCTGTTTATTTTCAAGGCTATTGCTGAGCTGGGGAGTGGGGGATGGAACCAGAGGATGTTAAAATGCCACAAAGCTCCCTGTTCTTACCAGGATTCAGCTGTTTTTCTTGCTTAAGCACTCTGTGATTATTGTAAGCTTTTGATTAGTTCCCAGAATTCTGAAAAAGTTGATTCTGACAGTTTTTTTTTTTTTGGCTAGTTTTTTCATTGCTTTTGGGAAGGGGCAGATTTTGGATTTCCTTACTCCATCATTTAAGCTGATGTCACCACCATGTCAATTTTGTATTAAAGAGGGCCTTCAAATAATATATGCGTCAAGCTCCACAAAACCTGGATCTACCCCTAGTTGGGGTTGTTAGAGGGGACTCAGGCAGCTTTGGGTATTAAGAAAATGTGACCTTATTATGTGGTTGCACTTTGATTATCTCTGGGCATATGGTCAAGCAAAGCTTCCAGGTTGAGATGACAAAGTATTTCACAAAGTTGGGAGGAGGGGACTTCTTCCATTTCTGCCTGGATCCTGGCATCTCCTTGCACCATGAGGACTGGAAGCTTTGGAAACACTGGAGGCAGCACCCTTGGCACAAGGTTATGAGATGCCCTTGGCATTTTCACAGGGAGGAGGTACCCTCACTGGAGTATCATGGGTATAGGGCAGGGGTTGTCAAACTACAGCCTGTGATACAAATCTGACCTGCTGCCTGTTTTTTTAATGGCCTGTCAGCTAAGAATGGTTTTTATATTTTTAAAAGGTTGATAAAAAATAAAAAGAATATTTTGTGACATGTGAACATTATATGAAATAATTTCATTATACATAGATAAAGTTTTATTGGAACACAGCCACACTCATTCATTGACATAGTTCCTTTCTCACTACAATGGCAGAATTGAGAAACTGTGATAAGGATTGTACACTCTGCAAAGCCTAAAATATTTGCTATTTGGCCCTTTACAGAAAGAGTTGCTGACCCTTGATATCAGGTACTGACAGGGAGATTGGAGCAAGAGGGGGAACAGAGTGGAAACCATTTATAGACAGAGGCTGGCAGGCTGGTTTTGAGCACAGATGAGATATTTCCTGAGAATTCCCTGAAATTGTTGAGGAGACTTTGCAGGGGCCTGTAGATCATGCATGATCAATGAGGGCAAGAGCAGGAAATGTGAGTTGTTTTTTTTTTTGTTTTTGTTTTTTTTTGGTGAGGAAGATTGTCACTGAGCTATCATCTGTGCCAATCTTCCTCTATTTTGTATGTGGGTTGCAGCCACAGCATGGTTGCTGACGAGTGGTATGTAGGTCCGAGCCCAGGATCTGAAACTGAGAACCCCAGGCTGCCGAAGCAGAGCGTGCAAACTTAACCACTATGCCACTGGGCCGGCCCCAGGAAATGTGAGTTTTTGATGTTAATACAACTTTATTCATCTCCATAGGATGATGGGATATAAGAGTTCTCAGTTTATTCTCATGAACACTTTTGTGGGAGAATCATCAATCCCGTTTTACTGATGGGAAATTGAGCTAATGAAGACCCTGCTGAAAGCCCAATGATATAAAACATAGTTCTCTGGGTCTTGGATGCCGAATTTCTTCCTGCTACATCCATTCTGCGGAGCTCAGATGGGGTCACATCAGCTACTCTTATAGTCTGTGGTGGCAGCACAGGGGTGCCATCTGGGCTGAGTTCTGCTTCAGAGGGTTCCTTCCCTCTGAAGTCGGGTCTGAAGGCAGACCCGACCCTAGAGCTGAAGGCCATCCTGTGTTAGATTCTGGAAGGGATAGGGGAGTTGCTAATTGAAGCCCTTAGAACCTTAGAGCCTCCGGTTCCCCCATCCAGAAAAAACCCTGAAGTGGGTCCTTCCCCACTCTCACTTCTACTCGTCCCCTTCTTCCTTCCCATTCCTGGCTGGTCTCAGCTCCTTAGCCTGGCATTTAGGGTCCTCCTCTTTAGACACACTGCTTGACATGATGAGTCATTAAAAATGGTCTTTATGTTCTCATGATGTTCTTCCGGTCACAGGTACCTCCACATGTGTGTAGTAAAGAATTAAACCTTGCCCAAAGCGAAGTCTGGCTCTCGCCCTCAGCTTCTGGGAGGTAATCTCTAAGCCACTGGAATGTCATGCTTGATCACAGTGTCTTTGTTTGCCTGGGGGCCTTGGGCCAGCCAGATAGTAAAATGTGATTTTGGATGGAGGCTTTGGATCATGAAATATCAGCTCGACCTCCTGAGGGGCTGGAAACTGAGGTCAGACACATGAGTAGTCAATCATGTCTATGTGATGGAACCCCAGTGAAGAGTGGACCGTAAGGCTCAGGTGAGCTTCCCTGGTTGGTGATATGATGTGCATATTGTCACACATTGATGCTAGGAGAATAATGCTGTCCTGACTCCCTGGGGAGAGGAGGACTGGAAGCTCTGTGTTTGGAACTCTCTTGGATTCTGCCCTATGTCCTTTCTCCCTTTAGGGAGATTTTAATCTGTATTCCTTAGATGTAATAAAACATAACTTGAGTATAAAAGTTTTTGGTGAGTTCTGTGAGTCCTTCTAGCAAGTTATTGAACCTAAGGCTGGTCTTGGGAACCCCCAAACTTGCTACTGGTGTCAGAGGTGAGGGTGGTCTTGTGGACTGTTCTCAAACTCTGCATTTGGCTAACTTTCACAATATCCACCAGCAACAGTCCCTGGAGAAGGAGAAATTTGAGGGTCTTCGTTATTACTTAACAACTTCCAGGAAGGCAGCTGATCTTTTTTCCTTCCAATTCTTCCAACTACTTTTTTCTTATGTACTTCTCTTCTCTCTTCTCTCTCTTCCTACTGGGTAGGAATTTTGGAGGACTTTCTTCCGAATCTTGGAGGGCCCCCTCTCCAGGAATTTTCTGAAGAAGATGGCTCTACATTTTCTGAGGACCTATGCCCAGTAGGCTTCTGTGCAGCAAGGAGAGGAAATAGGACGGACACTCCAGGAACCAGTGACAGTGAAGCCCTTTGCATCTGTCAAGAGCTTTATTGACGACACATGTACATGAGATCCAAGTAGCCCGTGTGGCTGGCTTGAGCTAGGTCAGTCTATTTGGGAGACTGCAAGTACCTCTCTGCCCACTTTGGATGCCAGCATCTTTCCCCCTAATGCCAGTGAGTTCCACTGGCCTTTCTCTAACAATACTAGTAAAGGTTCTATAACCCAAGATTTTAAAAATGTAAGGGAGAATCAATAAAAAAGTTATACACTATATCCTGAAATGAACATTATTCATAGATGAATGAAACTAAGTGTTAAACTAAACATAGAATATTATATATATACATATTTAATATTCAGATATATGTATATATCCGAAACTAGGGAACTAATGAAATTCTTAGCCAGATAGTAATGGTGACCATGTAAGGAAAGCTTACTACATGTCAGCTACTATTCTAGCTACTGTGAACGGCCTATGTTATTTAATCCTTAGCGCAACCCCGTGTGGTGGGTATTGTCATGAGTTGGCAGATGAGTAGGGTGAGGTTCAGAGACCTTGTCCAAGGTCACACAGCTATGAGGGACCGGAGCCGGGATTTGAATGCAGGCAGTCCCTCTCAGGCCCTGTGCTCTAGCCACCTGCTCCTTTCCTGCTGGGGCAACAGGCTCTGTTCTGGACTGTTTGGATCCTCTTCTTTGATCATTTTGGTTCTTCTTTAGGGCTCATGCAGTTTTAACTGGCACCCTGATAAAACAGTGATTTTATTGCTTGACTGATAAAACTGTCACAGAGATTTCTGAGGCTCCTGAGGTGCGATTGCTCAGCAATCATACTGTTGACACAGAGCACTCATCCGACTGTTATTCCACTCATGCTGCTGTGGAATTGGGCAACAGGGATTTCTACTAAAACCCCTCTTTCCCTGACCCGTCCTGGGCTACGTTGGCAAACAGCTCCTGCAAACTGCCTATGCTGGGGTCTGGGTCAGACAGGGGCTTGTAGGTCAGTGAAGGCTCGGTCTCTTCTAAATGCCATATCCTGGCTCTCTGGCCTCTGGCTCAGACACCCTCATGTGCTGTAATCATTAACTCCTGCAAGAAGCCCACAAGACAGATAGGTTTCAGAGCATCTGCTTCTGCTCAACTAGACACCGCCACTATTTGAAGTCCTGAGATGGAGACAAGTCAGGAAAGAGATGGCGGTGAGGGGGTGGCAGGGCAGGAGCTGGGTGGTGGGGGGCTGAGGCTGAGGCTGAGGCTGAGGAGGGAGATGGGCTTGGGGAGCGCTGTGTCCTTGATTGCTGGCTGTATGATTGGCTCTGGCATCTTCATTTCATCACAGGGGGTCTTGGTCTATATGGGCAGCCCTGGGGCCAGTCTTGTGGTCTGGGCAGTCTGTGGCCTCCTGGCCATGCTGGGTGCCCTGTGCTATGCTGAGCTGGGTGCCCTGGTTCCTGAGTCCGGGGGGGAGTATGCCTACATCCTGCGAACCTTTGGCTCCTTGCCAGCCTTCCTGGTCATCTACACGTTTGTGCTGCTGGGCAGACCAGCCGCCATCGCTGCTATCTCTCTGAGCTTTGCTGAGTATGTAGTGGCTCCCTTTTACCTGGGCTGCTTCTCACTGCCCCAGGCTCTGCTCAAGGGTGTGGCTGCCACCTGCATTCTGCTGCTGATGCTGGTCAACTGCTGGAGCTGGTGGCTGGCCACTAGGCTGATGAATGTGTGTACGGCCGCCAAAGTGTTCTCCTTGCTGGTCATCGTGGGGGTTGGCGCTGTGGTGTTGGGCCAGGGCTGTGGCCGCACAGAAGCCCTTCTGTCTGCCTTCCACAACACGACACAGCAGGCCGGGCGCATCGTCATGGCCTTCTACTAGGGCCTGTGGGCCTTTGATGGCTGGAACAGTCTCAACTATGTGATGGAGGAGCTCAAGAATCCAAACGTGAGTTCGTGATACTTCTGGGGGTGAAATCTCCACACATCAGCAGCTCCAATCATTGTTATTCGAGCTAAGACCGTGAGAAAACGGCCGGAAACAGGGGCTCCCTTGTACCCATGGGACAGAATGCCAGCCCACTGTCTACCCAGATTAGTTTATGGAATTCTAGAAACAATAACTTCTCAAGTAAGCAGAGAACTTTAAAGTATCACACCCATGGTCTCATACTCTGCCCTGTGAGGCAGGTATTATCATCCCATTTTTCACACAGGAAAACTGAGGTTTAGAGACAAGAAGTGATTTTGAGGTCATACTGCTAGTAAGAGGCTGAGATGAGACGACTCAGCTTATCTCCTGAGGCAGACTCAGAGATATCTCCTGGATTGTTCTTTGGAACATTGTAGTAGATACTGAATTCATACCTGCCAATGCATGGGAGCCACTACAGGACATAGCAGGATAGTTTGGGACAGGAGAATGGACCTGTCCTGCCAGACTCACCTACCTGTGAGCCTGGGGCTGGCTAGTCATTGCCCTGGTGGGGGATGGGTCTGCAGGGCCCCTTGGGACTCTGTTGGAATATTTGGACTCTTCAGTTACTATGGATATTAACTCTTTGCTATAAATATATTTGCCTAAGACATTGTTTTCTTTTTCTCCTGCACAAGTTTTAATTCTCGTAGAATGAAGACTGCCAGTCTTTTCCTCTAGGTCCTCTGTGCTGGCTTAAAGGCCATTACAGCTCTTAGCTCTCAGCAAAGGGGGTTTGGGAGAAATTGAAAGGAGAAGAGGAGCTTGGAAGACTCAGGTCCAAGAGCAGAGAGAGATGGGAGAGAGCCAGGAGGCCCAGGACCTAGTTTTTATTCTTGCATGTAATTCCTTGTGCCTCCATTCTCTGCCTATAAGATGGGGATCATAATAGCTGCCCTATCTCCCTCATAGGGCTTTGGAGTATCAAGTGGTATAATCATGTGTGGATGATGCCTAAGGCTCTGCGTACCGTAAACAGCTGTACGATTGTAATTTCAAGTGATGGTTAGTGCGTGCTCAGGTTGGCTCCAAGGTAGGGTAGGGGCTGCAGGGTGAGGGCACTGGCCCATTTCGTTCACAGGGGCCAGACCCCTCTCTCTCTGAATGTAGGCCCTGGGCTCAGAGCTGGTCCAGGGAAAGAGCAAGGGGCCCAAAGATGAGTGAGACAAGCTCCCATGCTATACAGCAGGGATCGGCAAGGATCAGAGACTCAATATTTAAGCTTTGCGGGCCACACGATTTCTGTTGCAAATAGTCAATCCTATTGTTGTAGCGTTAAAACAGCCCTAGGTAACAAACGAGTGTAGCTATGTCTCAATAAAAGTTTATTTATAGGGGCCGGCCTGGTGGCGCAAGAGGTTAAGTGCGCGCGCTCCGCTGAGGCGGCCCGGGGTTCACAGGTTCGGATCCCGGGCGTGCACCGACGCACTGCTTGTTAAGTCATGCTGTGGTGGCATCCCATATAAAGTAGAGGAAGATGGCCATGGATGTTAGCTCAGGGCCAATCTTCCTCAAGAAAAAAGAGGAGGATTGGCATCAGATGTTAGCTCAGGGCTAGTCTTCTTTACCAAAAAAAAAAAAAAGTTTATTTACAAAAACAAGTGGTAGACTGGATTTGGTCCACAGGCTGTTGTTTGTCAACTTCTCCTGTATATAGAGGATTTTTGACAGATGTGGGTTTCAAAGCAAAAACAAAGCCATTTGTCTGAATGCTGGGTGTTTGAAATTCTGACTCTAACGCGGCCCTCTGAAGCACAGGTTAGGTGTATCTTTGTTTCACATTTTTTTTCAAGAAACTGCAGAACTTGTGCCAAACCAGAGCCAGCCTTATGCTCGTGCGCCCTGGGATTTGAGTGAAGGATTAAGGTACTTGAGAATGAAACCAGGAAATCTCACTGTTCCTGTGGCATCTTGGACAGCAATCTGTCTGTGGCACAGCTCAGGGCTCTGGCGGGTGGGCTGCCCAAGATGAGTCAAGTTCAAAAGCACATCAGGTCCCTTCCCTCTGACTCAGCGTGGGGCTGGGTCATGCATGATGGGTGCTCACCTTGCTAAGGACACCCCATGACAAGGCCCATAGGGGAAGGAACCCAGGACTCTGCTCCACTGGGTCCGGGCAGAGCCACATTTTCAGGATTGGAATGATGAGGAATTAGCTGCTACGCCCACACTGTGTTTGGGGCAATTTCCTTTGCCCTCAGATTCCTAGATTTTATTTTATTTTTTAAAGATTTTATTTATTTATTTATTTTCCCCCCAAAGCCCCAGTGGATAGTTGTATGTCATAGCTGCACATCCTTCTAGTTGCTGTATGTGGGACGTGGCCTCA